TACACCGTTTATCCTAAGTTTTCCATAATTTAATTTAAATAAAATGTAGTAAAGCTACATTAATTTTTTACGGGTGTTTGCAGGGGCGGACTGGGCCGGCGGGATACTGGGAACTTTCCCGGTGGGCCGCTACTCAAAAATAATTAGTTACCTATTATTATTTATTTATAACAAAATCAGTAGGTATAAATATAAATTATAAATATTTTGTATTTTCATATCATAACTGTTGAGTGTGCAAAATGTTTATATTATATTTGGTGTTAAAGATTTTAGATTTCGGTTCAGCTGGTTGACCAGCCCCTCGGCATCAATGCATAAACAGAAATTATTATTTATAACTACTAGGGTATGAATTTGAAGATAAATTGCATTTTTTTCTGGATTCTTTTAAACATTGCTTTCCAATCAAAAAATCTATTTCATACATAAAATAATTTAAAAATTAAATTTTTATTTAGCATTTTTTTAACTTTACTGATTTATAGAACATTTTTTTGACGTTTTAATGACATTTTTATCGTTTGAAGGAATTTTTCGTAAATTGTATAAGTATATATACAATTTTATAAACACTATTAGCTTAAGTTCCTTCAAGAAATTTAATATAATTAAAAATCATTTTTTCTTACTAATATTTATATTTTATTACGTTTTATTTTATTTTGTTTGCTCCTATGACTTCAGTTAGGTATACAAAACAACACTTGCCAATTCTAACTGTCAAAGTTTTTTATTCAAAAATATTGATTAGCTTCTGATTGAAAAGTGATTATAATGAAACACAATATATGACGACTAACGACTAATGACTATACCTATTTAAGTTCTATTTTATTTTCATTTAAATTGGCTTTTCATTTTTCTGGGCATTTTACTAAGCTTTGTAATATTGTTACTGTGCATAAAATCGTATTTTTAAGGCATTGTTTTTTTTATTGCATTTATATCCATGCACTATTTATAACTTAATATGACTTTATTCTACAGTCGATTAATATATCCACTTCTAGCCAGCCAGTATTTACTTAATATAACTAACATTAAATTGTACACAATAAAAAATATAATATAAATATATTGTACCTACATAATAGTAAAATATAAAAGATAATTTGTGATAATTTGATGGGAATTAATAAGCTGATAACTAAAGGTACAGTTTCGTACGTTCAATGTAACGTCCTTAATTCAAAAAAGTGAATTCTTGAACTTCTTTTTTATTTTATTGTAGTGTACTAGTGTATCGTTTGATGATTTTGTAATATTTACTTATCTATTTGTTGTTTAAAATGGAAACTAAAAGAAAGAGTGGGGTTGAGAAAATCAGAGAGAGAGAGAAGGATACTCTTAGAAAAATCAAGTTAAAGTAGTTTAAACGAACCTATTTTTTTCATCCGTTATGGATCACTTATAGAGTAGGTAATAGAAAAAGTGATATATACATAATACTGTGCAGTACATTTAATTAAGATAAAATACTAAATAGGTACATTGAGAATCTTAAGTTGTCTCCTGAAGAAATTAAAATGAGTAGGTGGAGGATGCAACCATTATTTGTCAAAACTTTGGTACCATATTTAAGTCTTACATTTAGTGCTGACGACATTTTAAGGGCCGGTCAAAATATAAATTTCCCGGGCCGAATAGTTGCCCCAGTCCGTCCCTGGGTGTTTGTATACGTATTTTGATGTAAGTCGATATTTCTTAGGTAAATAACGACTTTTCTTGTAACGATTTTAGTTAATTTTATTTGGTAATTCCAAAATTTTATCTGTTACAAATATAAAACATACATTTTACTATTACTTAAATTGTCTTTTCTATACTCAAATACATTTTCAACATATTTAAACTAATTTTAAACTATATTTATTCTACAAACCTATTCACACCATTCGTAGATGTCGTACAGTTTTGAGTTTTTACCTAACAATAAGACTTATTTAATAATATATATGATATAATACTCTAATACAAAATATAATGCAAGGTTTTTGGGAAAACTTGCATATACCGTATCACTATTAAAACAATTAGCTTTAGTTCAAAATAGTTTTTTGTACAAAATTATTTATTATCATTGAAATAAAATCTAACATAGTAACTTTCCTAAGTATGAGGCACACTGGACCAACTAATATACACAAGAACTTCTTCGCTTTTTCTTAATATGTATTCGTTGAGGATAATTCACGGTATTTCATTTTGATTTATTTATTACCAACGTAAACTTTAAACTATTATATTCAAAAGGTAATAGGTATTATAAATAATATTAATATTGATATTATTTATATCGTATCCAAATATTCTAAATGTAATAACACGTAATACATTGTAATTTTATATTTTAAGTGGAGCCCCTATATACATCACTCTTTCAGAGCCCTAGGTCTCGACGGAGCACGGGCTTAGAACCACTGGTTTAATATACACCTATACGGCTTATACACACACACACATATTATATATATATATTTATGTATATAATCCGTTTGAATTAATTATTATATTGTTGTAGGTACCTACCTATATTATACTATAATATATTGTTATAATATACGTGCGGCCCTTACCGTTATCGTCAGATCCTAATCCGCACACCGCTGTTCCGATGAAAATATACGACAGTATTATAACTATATATATTATACTGCGCGTGAACTACAATACGTGTACCTATATAGTAATAGCGATAATAGCACACCGTCTGCATAGGGTGGTCGGAAGACAAAAACTCCGGCGAGGGACGGATGGTGAATAAAAAACAAATATCCATTACCCACACCCCGGTTACGGGACTAATTGTGTGGTATAAGAAGGGAACTTGCCTTGAATAGGTTTTGCTTACGAGGAGTGTGCCAACATTGAGCTATATATACGTACATAACGTGCGCTATTGTATTATATATATTGTATATATACATCATAATATATAGGTAGTACGTGTTATCGAGGTGATGTTTTGAGTTATTGGAAATGCGACGCGTAAGATTCGATTACACTCAAAATTATTTAAGTACCAAGAGTGTTTGTTCGTGTATAGCCATTTAGAAAAATTGTCTTTTTGCGAAAAAAAAGCTCTCGATTTACAGCCGATCTGCTGCCATCCGGTTAAGTTTTATTATTATGTAAGAACTATAAACACAGTTAATTTCAATAGACTATTTATTAATTATTGAGTGATGTACTGATATACAGTCGATCGAACTTCAGGTCCGTAGCTACAAAATATTGAACCCTATACGGTGGGTATATGTATAATATTTAGGCAACTTCAATTTTTTTTTTTTAATTTTAAAGATACAGAATAACACTAGTTTTCCTTGGTAACTGAATACAATATGTACTCCATATGTCAGGTACACCCCTCCCCCCAATTTTTTAGATTATTAAAGAAATGATTAATAAATTGAATTTAAGATGATTTAGAGTTTTTAGTTTTTTTGGGGATGGTTATCACCTTTTGGAGCAATAAAGATGCTTTGGTTTTTAATTTTGAGGGTGGTTTTTGGTTCCAGTTGAAACTTTAGAAGGTTAAAAATAAAAAATTCCCATTCATTTTCAAAATAATTGTAATAACAAAAAATAAATAAAAATAAACGAGAATTTTCATGAAAATCCTGTGTTTAACAAAATATATTTGGTTTTTATCTTGTAACTTAAAAATTAAGCTACTTACTTTACATTCTACTATTATTTGTATTATTATTGAAATTAATTTTTGTCTTCTATTTGTCTGTAAATTTAACTGTATAATTTATAATGGTCTAATCTAGATACAATACTAATAATTCTATACAATACATTTTTGTAAATTGTGTTGTACCTTATTAAACTCTTATTTTGTTTTTGTAAAATTATTCTTCCTAAAAGTACATAACAATGCTTAATATATATTTTGTTCACCTTTCTTTTTCTAGATTGAAAAACAATTTTATTATTTTTTTGTAAATCATTATGCATTTTCCATACACAATATAATTTGCGTATGGATATACATTATACATATTACATAGGTAGGTATAGGTAATGATAATGACCATATGCAAATACATACTCAATATTTTAGTATATAACTGAAACGTTAATTATTGTTTAATTAACATTGTTTTTAGGGTTGTATATTTGTATAGAATATAATTTTTATATTAAAACTGCATTAGATAATAACAGTAACAGTAATATCGCTCAACTGTTTTTATTCAGCATAACATATTGTCACATAAGTGTGACATACTGACTTATAAAGCATTAAATTATATAGGTTTATAATATTATGTGCTAATTCTGACATGTTTCAGACTAGTTTTTTTGTATTTACCTATCTAATGTAATTACTTGTACTTGTAATTCATTCATTTTAAAGTTTAAACTATTGTATTTTAAATTGATGACCATCACAACCTAATACATTTATAAATACATTACACCAAATATTAAAATACCTTTTATCATAGGTAATGTGATATAGTTATATAGGTACTGATGTGCATATAATAAAATATAAACACGATCACATAATATATATTCGGCTATTCGTCTGTACACACTACAGCACTAATATTGTTTATATAAACTATAATGATACTGAAATCAAACAATTTAAATACAAATTACATTTAAATCTAATATATTTCTACATAAAATTAAATTTTGTAGAAAATAATGTACTAAGCCATAATAAAATGAAATCCATTCATAAAAATTATTATGATAATTTTTATAATGTTCATATATGAATTTATTACATTTTGCGCCTGGGGCGAAGACGTACAGCCCACGAATCACAATTACACCCCTCCCGACCAAGGTAGTACCTAGGTAGAGATAATATTTTGTGAATTTGTGATATTTCAACTTGTACATATTATTATGAATACTAATAGACCTTACCCACTAATTTTAAATAATTCGATAAGATTATTAATTAATTATCTTGCCAGACCCTGCACATTATTATTAACTAGACATAACGTGACGTTTGTATGTTGTAGATGATTTTTTCGCCAGCAAAGGCCATGGATTCGGTGACGTCGATTGGCAGTAACCGGGAAGTGGACGGTTTCCGGAAAAAGTACGGTCCCAAGTCGACCGACTCGCTGACGTTCTCCATCGCCCGCATCATGGAACCGGACGTCCGGAAACAGCCCAGTGCACCGGCAGCCGACTACTTCCACGCACTCGAGTCGGCGTTCAAGAAATACGTGCCGGCGTTCAGATCCAATCCGCAGCAATCCACTCATTGCGCGGCCACCGCCAACGATGGACGGACACCACTGACCGTTAACAACAACGACCGTTATCTGTCGACGACGATGACGACAACGACGACGGCTGTACAGCTGTTTCACTATCAGCAACATCCCAGGCTGTCCTGCACAATTGAAGACAGACCGGCTCATCCCCGTCCCCGACCACCGCCACCATCATCCGAACTCTCGGCGCTCACTGTACTTCCGGTGATCCCTGTACTTCCGGTGCCACCGGCGCCGCCGCCAGCAACATCACATCAGATGACGCTCGGGCGACTCACCACGACCAAGTCCATTCCGCCACCATCCAGCACCAAGGAACTGTCGCAGGCGGTTACCTCTGTCACACCTGTTAAAACATTCACGTGCAACCATTGCGGAAAAGTGTTCTATGCCCATTACAATCTGACTAGACACATGCCTGTTCACACAGGCGCCCGGCCATTCATTTGCAAGGTAGATATTCATAAATAACTAGCATCGATGGGTAATCTCGGGTTTCTAACGGCGAATCCTCGTCCCACATCACACGTGTTCCTCAACCAACCAACAGTAATTCGCCACCCCCCACGAAATACTAATTACCATAGTTGCCACTTGCCAATAATTTAAAGTTGAAGACCAATAATAAAAAAAAAAATTGATTTATTTTAGATTCTGAGGGGAGCGATTCATTGGTTTTACAATGATGTATGTTTTTTTATTTTTTTTTCTTCATCACCTTTTAGGATGGTAAAAATGCTTATATTTTCTTTAAAAGTGTCTTTTTTGATAGGAACGTGAATCTAATGGTACTTGGGGGGGGAGGTCAAAAGTAAAAAATCAAAATTTTTAATTTTTTTTTTTCTATAAATGTAAATTAAATTGTATTCGTTGGGTCAAACAGCGTGAAAATATAATACAAGGCTCCTGTATGCTGTTAAAATAGCAGTTGCAAAACACTAAAAATAAATAAGCACAATTTTTTTTATAAGCGTTTAAAGTTTGAATTTTGACAAAATTTATCAAATTTAAAATGTAATAATTATTTTGTAGTAAAAATGTATAAAATGTTCAACTTTAATAGCTAAGGATTTAAAATTTAAAACAAGGTTCTTCCATGTAAATAGGTTATATATATAAATTACTTTATTCACAATAATATCCTCAAACATAAAACTTAGTAATATCATAGGCTGACTGACCGTCTTCGCCCATAATCGTTTTCCTTATACGATGATATTACATCATTCAATTCAAATTTACCACCATCCATTCCAGTGACCCATTTGCACCAATAATATTCACTTTCCCATCTATCAAGATACTGAAGTTTAAAATCATTTATTATTTGCATTATTTCGACTTCTTATCGTGTACAGACGATAAAATAAAAAATTACAAAAAAATAAAAACACACATCAATACATTCATCGTACCACTCAGAATCTAAAAATGTTAGAACATTTTTAAAAAGTATATTATTTGAAATCTATGTACCTGCATAACAATGAATAAGTATAAATCAAGGATCCTCAAAAATATTAAATACTGTCAACAAATCTTAAAAATATACAAACACAGTTCTTTTTTACAGACATTTTAAGTTAAAATTTGGTCAAAATTACAACTTTAGTAATTTAGTTATTTTGTTGTAATTTAAAAATATTGTTCATGGGTACTTGAAACTTTTAGAGTATAACATTATTATATTTTGTACACACAATGACATTTGACGTTTTTAATGCATTTTAAACCTATTTTTCGTACTATGACTAAAAAAATGTACTTAATTGAAATATAAACATTAAACATAGTAGGTATACTACATAACATAAATCATTTTCATTTTGAACAATATAACATCAGGCAATCTTCAGATCAAATGTAATTCTCATTGTACAGTGTAATACAAATTTAATTTTTACTAGGTAGTTATTTTATATTTATAAACGTAGGTACTTGTAATATATTTTACATGTTATTTGCATTTTTTGAAAGTTAATTTTTTGGGAATTTTTATAGTTCTAAGGTCATAAATGGATTGTTTGGGTGGGTACTTTTTTGATATTTTTAGGGCATTTAAATTTGAGCCCTAGTTGTAATACTGGATTGAAGCATCTTAAAAGTTAAGAACTCCAAGTGCTTGAGTTTGATCATCTATATTGCTGGTATGACTTTGTCTTGGTACAACCCTCGTGAATATAATAATTACTTTTTGAAGAAAATATATTATTTTGTATTTTGTAAATATGTATTGAATTAAGAATTATATTTTTATTATAGGGATATTTGCATCATACAGTTTATTGTAAATTATGGTTATACATAGGTATTATACGACATACTCGCTGACGGCACGGCTCGGTTTTGAATTAGACTGTCTTTTATGAGTAGTGAGGCGATTTGTTTACATTTCAAGTATGTTATAGCTGATAAGTAATAACGTATATTCATTATTTTAAATACTTGAATTGCAGTTACATACAATACATTTGTCATTTGACAAAAAATGTATTCTATAAAATTCAGATAGTGGTTGGTACAATACAAGTCGAATTAACGTATTATTCGTCAATCGTTAGAATTATGATAAAGTATAAAGTATACATTCAGATTATATACAATTTTCATATTATAATCATTAATGTGTGGTATAAACTGTAAATTAGAAATCGCTTTTATTTCTCTACCATAAGTAACTATCACAATGACCTACATATTGAGAAAAAATGGAAGCCAAATGTCTGGTGACGGAAATCTCGATTTTGTTATCGTACTCCAAACTGTTTAACTATTTATTTCAACATATTAGGTATGCACGTTAATCACAAATATAATGTTGTAGATCTGATTAGTTAAAAATGTCGAACATTTATATCGCTCGGCAAAAGAGCAGAATAAAAAACACTCGGGAACTCATCGGTCTATATTATAGATTCCTACCTATGTGAATTTCTTTGGCATCAAAAAAATAAAATTAGGTACCTATTAATTGTATAACCACCACAGATATAATATGTATATAATAACTAGATACCCGACTTCTTCTTATCAATGACGCTGGCAACCATTTACAATACTTGGGCAATGTCTACTAATCGTTAGAAAGGTAATATGATAATAAACAACATTTCATATTATCAAACAAGCCCATTGTCATTCAAAACGATTAAAAAATGATAAGAATTTGTAAAATGACAAAATGTTCCAATAGTTTTTGACACTTAACGACAGGCAAAACATCCATTTTTATTTACATAAACATTATTTACATACTTGAAATTATTGTAATTATTGTAATTTCTACTAATTTAATTTTAATAAAATATTATTTTTTTTGATCACTAAATCATTGACTTTTAATATTTTTAGAAAATAATTTTACAGTAATTTTGATAAGACAAATAGTTAAGAGGACACTACCCATGTTCTTACCTACTTAAAAGTTTGGTAACAGGTCAATTCACTCTTAATACCAAAACTAACAGCACACTATATTGAAACCATAGTGAACATTTTATATATCGTACTTGGAAAAACAGAGACAAGAAATGCATGAGTAGCGTCCTCTTAAATGAAAGTATTAAATTTATAACAACAAAAATCAAGAGGACCAAAGCGATTATAATCTTTAGATATGTGTATCAAACCATGAACAATATGGGATATATATTAAATATTTTGAGCCATAAATGTCTTTAAAGTTTTTAACAAAATTCTTTAAGAAATTATCAGACTAATTAAAAAATTTGCCATCAATATTTGGACTCAATATAATAGTCAATGCATTTAAAACCATAAATTCCCTTTAACATTAAGTACATCTTTCAAAGCAAGTGGTCCGTTATAAAGTAAGAACTGACGAAACTCGGTAGCCTTCCAATGATCAACATCTTGACTTGGTCTTGGTTTTGTACAAAATCACTAGTTATTTAAGATTTGAGAAACATTAAATTTGTACTAATTTTTTAGATTATCCAACTTGGTAAAAGTACAGCCAAAGTACCTTATAATCTTCATGTGTTCTTCTCTAGAATTAACTGATTTAAAAATGGTTGCTCAATTATTAAGAAGTGCTAGAATCCTCTTTCTCCTCTTCTTGAATCAACGCTTCGAACGGTAGCTTCTCATTATCTTACACTAAATTAATATTAATATTAATGTTTAATTTCTTTCTTGTAATGAAAAGTATGATTTAAATGAAAATTAATTTAAAATTGTAAAAAAATAAATGGTTTAATTAATATTTTATTTTTGTAACAAATAAATGTAACTAGATACCACATGGAAGACTACTATGTTAGTACTACTACACATATTAATATTTTAATAAGAACTTAAGTTTAATTTCAAGTTTTAAAAGTTTCAATAAGTATTTATATTACATGACAGAATTTAAAATTTAAATAATTTAAAACACTAAAACTGTGCAACTACCTATTTGTGATTATAATATGGTATAATGCGGTCAACTAGTAGATTTCATATTATTACCAAGTAACAAATGGCGTTGGGCAACATAATTCAATAATGGAGTCGGTTATCTAGTTTTTATATATATCTGTGGTAACCACTTAAATAAGTCTCAAATATGATATTTGATAATAAATTAGGTATGTTCTGTTAATACTGTTATCATAGACTTATATCTCTGTTATGAAGATGTTTCTTATAAATTATAACCAATCTAATTGATGAATATAGTACCTATTACACTAGATTCTGAACTGAAAAGTGTATTGAGAAAAATAAAAAAATACCAGCTATTTATTAATAATAACTGCAATCACTACTAACAAATAAACAAAATAACAACAAATATTGAAATAAAAATAGGTTTTAGTGGGTGGAATACGAAAAAAAAAATTTGCAGTCAGGTAATCGAACAGACCAACGGCAATTTAAGAAATGTAATTTTGTATTAACTAGTAAATTTTCAGTAAGAAAAATGAAAAAAAAAACCATTTATGTAAAAGCAGCCGTAATAAAATAATTGAAAATGTATACACGCTTAATAGACTTGAATCATTAGATGACAACAAACAAAATTTTAAAATCCAAGAGAATTATGTGTTGGAATTTGAGATACATATTTCCACAACCAGTCTCATCTGTTATGAGAGAGGCATTGTGAAATTATGCAGTGGTGTGCTCAGCTTTTTTGAAAGTGGGGGATATGCATTTTTTACTATTTTCAGACCACTGTCAAAGGTAAAATAGTACTTGAGACTGTCATTATTTTGAGATCTGTAGTATAGGTACCTAAGTATTGAAAAAACTATGCGAAAAAAAACCATACAAAATCAACAAAATGTATCAAACTCGCCCCAATTTACCTACTATCTAAGGTAACTACGAATACAAATAATAGGTTTATAACGAAAATCGGAATAACCTGCAGTATGCATACCAGACCAATATTTATTACATTTTAAATTCGTCATTGCTATAGGCCTAGTCTATAGTATATTACTATAATAACTATTTAAACTTTAAACCTATACGCTAGCTGTAGGTCACTATATAATAATAAGCAGGTAATTAATAATAATAAGGATATTAATCATTAGGTATATATAGTTTTAGATGTATGAATGTCGGAAGCTAATAATAATTAGTGTAATAAATATGTGTATAGTATATGAGTTTGAAAACTTTGCCTTTCATTTTAAACATATTCAACGACACTTTACACTTTCATTGCGTCTAAATCAATTCATAACCATCACCCACTGTAATAAAAACGTTTGCGTTATATTTACAAAAGATTTTTCACTAATCATAGGCATTATTGTCTACCCACTTGCACGATCTGTTTGATCTCAACAACGCGCACCCTTACCACGTATATGTACACCCTGCGAACGTACACAAACAAAACAACACACCACTCAAATTGATCAGTATAATGAGAGCTACCAAGTACCTACCAAACACCACGCGAGGTCTCAAACCTTTAACTTTATTAGTCAAATCAATAAACGAAAATTAAAATATAAATTAATCAAGTTTCACGCTGTTTTTCGATAACTTATTGAAGAACCTATACTATATAGCATATTAAACATAATATGGTGACCAAAATATATTAAATCTAAAAAGAACATTTTCAATTTTACCTAAATGTAGGTGAAAAATATTTCAAATTTCAAATATATCATTATTGCTGAATTTAATCAATATTTTTTAATATCAAAATAATAATTTTATATCTATAGATACTTAATTTCGGATTGTATAATAATTAAATTTCTATATATAGATAGCTAGTATTAAATTTATTTTTTGTAAATACCTTTAACTAAACGTCTAAACCAGTACATTAAATTATAAAATAAATGTTTTAGTACTTTATGGTAGGTAACATAACTAATACAGTATAGAGAGTAGAGAATACTAATATATAATACCACTAATGTAATACTTTAGTTTATAACTCTGAAAATCTGCACTAATTAATGTTTAGCCGTTATAGTATGGGATATCGTAGGCATATAATATCAACTTACAAAAACAGCTTAGAATTCAGTATTGAAATAAGTACCTACCTATAACATTTTCACCATACTGATTTAGTAAAATTGTTGATGTTTAATAATATATATTTATTATTTATTTTTCCGATCTTACATTCTTGTTGGAGTTATTATTAATTTACCAATAATGCATTTTAAAATAAAGTTCAAGTTCATAAAACATATTAACTAAATAACTGTTATTATACAAACCGGTATGAGCACTGATAATATTGTTTATTCATTCCCAATATTCGTGTTCGATAATTATTGTTATTTGTTGCTTTCAAATGATTTTTTTTGTAAGTTGTTACTTTCTTAACACAATAAACAAAGCACTTTTTAATTATTCTCCAAAAATATAATGATAAAAGTATAAAACACCAATACCGTCATAACTGATGGTAAAATTATGTAATTATAGAATAGTTTATAATAACTATATACCTACTATATAGGTATTAGGTAGTTAGTAGGTAGTTACCTACCATAATGCCATATACTCTATTACTCTATAATATTTTTCCTTCATATTAGTATATTACCCAGGTTTATATTTTGATTTTTTCCCCTCGATTCACTGCAGGTAAACAAACACACATATACGATAAAAACGAATAAGTACCTATATGTACTTCCTTATTGAACACATACCAATATCAAATATTATTTTGTGCACCCTAAATCGATCACGTATTTGAGAGGATTACCCATCTAATATACCTTTACATTCGTGTACTAATGTACCACGGGGTCACTCATGTAGAAATTCATTTGATTCCTTTTAAGTGTTCCTGGTTTCTTATTAAGGAAAAAGTAACAATATAAAATAATTTTGTGAAAACAATATAACATCGACCGAGAAACATTCTACTTGAAAATATATACTATCCATTATGATATTATATGCACCAGCTACTTTTATCTTCAGTATATACATTTTCAATAAACTGTTTTATAACTTATTAGATGTCTTGCCAGTTACTGTATTTCTCAGTCAATGTTAATCCGTTGGTCACAGATGCACATACAAAGAGGGAGTCATGTCCCACATACCCTTTTATTAAGGGCATTGTATTATAAATACCTATCTTAAAAAGTATATATTACACAAGTAATTTATTTTACTGATAGACATATTAGTAGGTACCAGAGTAGGTTAAATTCCTTTTTTCCGAACAAATTGTATTTGAGAATGTCATTGTATGTACAAAATATAATAATATTATACTTTAAAAGTTTCAAGTACCCATGAACAATATTTTTAAATTACAACAAAATAACTAAAATTGTAATTTCGTCCAAATTTGAGCTTAAAAAGAACTGTGTTTATATATTTTTAAGATTTTTTGACAGTATGAACTATTTATGAGGATCCTTGATTTAAACCTATTCATTGTTATGCATTTACATATATTTCAAATGATATACTTTTTAAAGGATGTTCGATAATTTTTGTAAGTTTAGGTTTGAGTATAATATACTCATTACTCATAGTATAATACATGCAAAATATTCAAAGCGAAGTATACACATTACACATGGACAAAGGTCGTACATATTTAGTAGTACTAAATTTAAAACATCGATAAATTATCTACAAGAGAAACCATATTGTACAATAAATTAGTATTAAAATAATGATCGTCGATTTATCTTATATAAATATAATATTAATATAATAATAATATAATGTAATTTAATAATATTATATAGGTACCCTGGTACCAGGTATAATAATTAATAAGTAATAAGTATCTACCACCTAGGTACTTATGAATTATGTTGCAACTCAGACCAACTCTCATAAAAAATGCTATACAATGCATTCCCTTTATTATCGTATTCGAAGTGAATCATTTATTTTCTTGGTATCTAACGAGCTCTTAACGTGTGTAATTTTCTGGGTTAGTGTTTAAAATTATTTTTTTCAATATTTTATTGAATTACATTAAAATTCAAAAAGAAAAAAAACATTTCGGTTCGAGAAAATTACATTTAACGTATTTAACGAATAAATAATTAAAATAATTTTGACAAATCGTTTAAATATGTTCTATAAAAAAATGTATAAACTAAAAATCATATTATATAATTCCGAATTAAATACAAAATTAATATATATTATTATGTAGGTATATATTGCGACCAATATGTAGGTATATGCGTTCGATTTAACGTTAAATTATATATCAACAAAATATAACAAATACCATTACAAGTTACAAAATACTAGACGACTGTACTTACTACTTACTACTTCATGTACTTCGAACCCAATACCGTAGTTCTATACGTTTGATATAGAAGGGAATGCCCTACTAAAAACCATTGGGGAATATTACCTATTATCAACTTCACGGCTGAGGCAATCGCTATATTTTCTGTTTTAATCAGCGATCACAATATACACTTTATATTAATACAATATACATTATATGTAGAGTGATTCTATTATATTGAACCAGCCTACAGGCATATAATCTTATGGGAAATATAATAAAGATTTTTTTAACATTTAAAGACGTACCTATACGTACTGTCTTACACGGTTCTATCATGACCAGCTTTGCTAGACTTATAAATTACATATTATATTTTCTGTCTAACGTTGAAAGAATCACTCTGTACCATTTATATCTGCCAAGTTCCTATACATAATTATCATATTTTATACGTGTGATGCAGGTGTGCGGCAAAGGCTTCCGACAAGCGTCCACGCTGTGCCGCCACAAGATCATACACACCGAAGAAAAGCCACACACGTGTGCCATTTGCGGAAAGGCGTTCAACAGGAGTTCGACGCTGAACACGCACACGCGGATACACGCCGGGTACAAGCCGTACACTTGCGAATACTGTGGCAAGGGATTTCACCAAAAGGGCAACTACAAGAATCACAAGCTTACGCACAGCGTGGAAAAAGCGTACAAGTGCACCGTGTGCCATAAAGCTTTCCATCAGGTATAATATTATGTCGGTAGTTATTACAGATAAATAGTCGAAACCTGACCGGGACTAAATATCATAAGAGTACCTTCAACATTTGTCAATACAAATTTTAAATATATATATATGTCTTACCTATAACAAAATACTGAAATAAACATTATATAGACAAAATAACTTCAAATATCTTTTAAAAATTAAAAAATACGTATTGAAGATGTTTGACGTTACTCTAAAAGTATGAAACATAATATTATAGTTTTTCCTTATACTTAATATATTATATGAATATACGATCACCCAGAAAAAATATCCAAATGCATATAACTCTACTCATTAGAGTACTAGACTGATCGCTGAAAACAGTATGGTTTAGTTTTTTTTTTTTTTTTTTGTTTGGGAAACAACGAATGCTTCAGCCATACTTTTATTTAGTAAGTACCTACCTGTCTACCAAGTATATGACACAAGTGTTTGAGAGATTTTAATGTTTTAAACGAGGTGAAATGGGCGTTAAAGATCAAGTGTGCTTTATGCGGCTTTTAACAAGTTATATAATATCTAACGACGAAAAAGTTAAATGACTAAAAAAACAACGAGGATGCCGTTTGACAGTCGATTAATATTATTCTAAATAGTATACTGTTCTAATTACTAGAACCCAAGAGAATAAGTTGGAGCGTTTGGAGTTTGAACGAGTGCAGAGAAAACGGACAAATGTATATCACCTCTAATATTTAACCCGGGAGAACTTACTTTGGTAGGGACCATAACGTGTTTTCGTCATTATTTTTTAGAGTTGAGCTACTTTCAGATCTCATTAAACCCTCCACACTATCACTCTGACCCTCGGCCAAAGAGTCTCGGAAAGGTACTAGAATATTCCTGGTATCGTTTTAAAATGTTTTTTTTTTCTTTTTTGTGTGTCAATATACCGAACAGGTGTACAACCTGACGTTTCACATGCACACGCACAACGACAAGAAGCCGTTCACATGTCACGTCTGCGGCAAAGGATTTTGCCGGAACTTCGATCTCAAGAAACACTTGCGCAAACTCCACGACGCCCCTTATCCGCAGCACCAGTCCTCAGTAATCGCGCCACAGGCCTCCACAGCCGCATTGACGGCTCAACCTCCTTTGCCACCGCCGCCGCAGAACGTCCGCCACGGCCTTGGAACGTGCGTGCCACCGTTCCAGTCGGTCCAGGCTGGATCTCAAAGGAACGCAATCATGTCTAACGATTCGCCCCACCACTACTGATTCCCAACGAGAGTTGGTTAGTTAGGTGACCAACTTCGGACGAATTACTTATATCGTGTACAATACTTATATTTATGTGTAATTATTAGCCCAAAGACCATAGTAATAACATATTATTATAATATTATGGTTACCTATTTGTCTTGCAATATTTATATCGATATTACGTGGACTTTCTATTTTTGTTTTGGAATTCGATAAGTACCTCGTGTTTTGAACGAATATGATGTTTGGTCTAGTCGAGTTTTCAACGTAGGTACAATACCTACACAGTAGGGACCTACTCACAACCGCGGATATTATAATTGTTAGTTGTTAGTTATTACTTTTACTTATACCATACGGCTAGATGTAGGTTAGTACTAAGTTACATTAGATTAATTTTCACGAGAAAGATGTCTGTGTTTTTTCTTAAAATTTGATTAATGTGTTACTGTGCATATTTCGTTATGGTCACTAACTTTAACATAATAATTACGTCTATCTAAGAAGGAAGTTGTGAGTAAGTATAACCTTTCTTTCTCTCCTCGATGGGTGGTATATAAGGGGCGCAGCTACAGTAAATACCTATTAATTTAAAAAAAAATGTATGAATTATACATGCATAGGGTGATAATATCGAGCGGCATACCTACTTATAAATGACAATCCAACCTTCAAATTGTTGTACCTACTTACCAAATATGCATCTAAAAAGATGATATTTGGATTGAAGAATTTGTCCCTGTCATAAATTATACGATAGAAAATTAAAGTTGATGGCATGAGCCATGAGAACTAAACTATCCCTATATAAATGTAATATATTATAATATGTTTCCTAAAATTTGATTTCTATTTCTTACCATAAAATAAATTTCTAAAATCTAATTCGAATTATGAATTTACATACACAGGTTACAGGTTTAAAGGTAGGTAGGTATTTTAAAATATCCTCATATAAATGATTTTTAAGCATTATAAATTATAAACATCTGGATTTAAACTATTGTAACTGTTTGTTAAAAAGAAAAACATTATACTACAAAATGTTATCAATTTGCTGGTGTTTTATTTCTATAATTGCTCTACAATCAATTTTAGCTTATCTGCAGCGCCAATGTCTTAATGTAGAAACTGAACATTTCCAGCGACATCTTTTTAATAAATTATCATTTTTACACTTAAGATTTTGGTTTTGTGCAACTAAAAATATTATTAATATATTAGAAAATAATCGGGAAAATGCAATACGTATTATTTATAATATTCTATTGAATTGTATTAGTACATTGACTTTTTTTTAATATATAGCTATCATTTGTTTTTTTCGACTAAATATTGTTCTTTTACAAAACTGATTACGGGTACGAAAATTGTTTTTTTATAGTTAATAATAAAATAGTTTTAAGTAGATGAAAAGGTAGGTAGGAAATGTAGGAAAGTTAAGTTAAAGAAAATAAGTAGAAAGTAGATTTTTGACATGTAAGTAACTCATAACTATTAATTTGTTAAAGAGTTGTTTTAGTTGCCTGTATTTGTCTTCTAATATCGGCAGACTTGTATAGTTAGGTACCTTTCTAAATGTTAGGTAGGTACTAATTTTATCTAAATTGTTAGGACTATAATATAGTTATTATATTATAATAATCGTAATATCTAAATTATTTGCAGTACGTATTATTATTGTTGTTATTGGTCTTCAAATAAGCATAGGTACCTAACTAACCACTATAATATTTTATAGACGTTCATTATAAACACTGTTGGAACAGGATCGTATTTTTTTTCGGGAGGGGGGGGGGGTAGGAGTATGCATTTGCCCAACCTTAGATTTTAAAGTAGCTTTGAGCCGGCTTCCCGGTCTAAATGGGCTGACTGCCAGCTACATTAACTGGCCCTAGAGCCAATACGGGCTTTGATACAACATGATAATAAGACGAGTAAAATTTTACTAAGTACGTAGAGATAAAAAATATACCTAAGTTATATTATTACTTGGTATTACGATTTATGATATACACTATACAGGTTACTTAACACCGCATAGTATAGCCTCCAGAGTGATGTCTATAGTGTATCGCCAAAAATCAGCTGTTCAGCATAGGAAGATTTACAACTTTAGCAATTTCAGAGACCTTGTGATCCGATTTTTTTTTTAATATTAACTCAAAAGTTGTACACTTATTGGGCCGGTCATTATTATGCCCTACCCTGGGAAATATTGAAATAATGAAATGACGCCCCTTCTGTGGTGTGGGGGTATTATAATTCAGGCCATACTTATTAGGTACCTATAATAGATTCCTTTTCCGACGGTTAGATAATATCGTTTGACTATGGTGGTGTACCTACGAATAATATAATATAATATAATAATATGTGTGTGTGTCTTGTGTGTATGGATATTTTTAACGTGTACTTTTCATCTCAGACACGGCTACATGATTTATCTACTCTTTAGATACCTATAATTAATTGTATTTTAATAAAATATTACCTATTATTAACTTACGTTGATATTTGTTTTCTTTTATCGGGTCGTTAGCAATATATTTTGTTATGTTTTTATTTACTTATTGTAATTTTATTATTATTTTGTACATACCTATACAGTTGACTGTTCAACGAATAATCACTATTATATTATACTCGTGTATTTTTTTTTTCGTAGGATAACTATATTATAATATATCAATAACACTTACAAGTAGGTATACGATACCTACAAAAAAAGTGATTGTACATATAACTATATTATAGGTATGAATATAATATAGTTAATGATTGATGTTTATCTTTTTATTTTATTTTTACCAAGCAATTTTTAATCATTACCTACATAATAACACATAATATGTGTAACTCCCCATAATTTTGATAATTATCAATTTCGCATACCCAGTGCCGCTGAGTTCCGTTCAAATACAGAAAAGTTCAATTTCGACCAAAAAATTAAGAAGGTACATACTCCCTATAATATGTGAAATTTTGAATTAAATTTTGATTAGATAAATAACAACTGTGACATGCGTGCAACTTCCCTCAACATTTTCCAATTAAAATTACAACACTCGTGTACTTATTGTTTTTAGTGTTGTCTCCTTCTTTTGAAATAGGACAACATGACAAATTTACGTTCAGCAGTTCCAATTTGAATGTGTTATTAGCTTAAATATAAAATTGAATTTACTTATAATCAAACTTAAAGGTAAGAACAATATCTGCGTTCTATATGTATAGTTGGTTTAGTCTATGTATGGTTGGTTTTGTAAAATACCTACCTATTTTCATTTTTAAGGTAATTATGAGAAAAAATCAATCAGAATTCTAACTATAGGATATTACTTAAACATTGTTCATAAATAAATACAAAATTGTACTTGACATAAAATAAAACAACTGACTTAAATTTGAACTTATTGATTTACATTTTTTTTATTCATATTAAAACAGATAAACTTTTTTAAAAATAAAAAACAATCAGACTTTTAATTCTATGAAATAACTTAATAAAATTGTTTTAAAAATAAATGTAAAATATTGCATTTGAACACAAAGTAAAATAACTGTCTTAAATTTATGTTATTATTCCTAATACATTAAAAATCTTCTATACCTACAATATAATATGCAAACACTTACAATTAATTAAAAATTAAAATATTCAGATTTCTTAATAACAAGTCAGAACAACTGTTGTTTTAAATTTATTAATTCATCAATTTAGACTTTAAGTTCCTATTTTCAGTCTTTACATTAATAATATAAACAAAATTTGAAACTTTCAAAAATGAGACTTATATTATAGTTAAGCAGCTTTGGTTTTGAAAGTATTCAATAGTATGAGGTAACGTATAATATAAGGAATCAGTATGTCTATAGGCATAAATTGCTTCAATTTGTGTAAATCATTCACTTTAGATTTGGTTAAAGGCATTAAAGGCAATATTCTTTTGTAAAATTTTTGAAACTGAAATATTTCTCGTTCAATACTGTTACCTACTTAAATGTTGGTTTATTTTCTTTCTAATGGTTTTTCTTGGTATTTCACAATATGGTTTATTAAACAAAAGTGTATAATACATTTTAAATGATGACTGATCATACAACAATGCTCGAATATCTTTCACTTCTGGTTCACCTTTACTTATACCTGGTCTAATTGAAGTATATTTTTTTAGTGGCTTAAAGTCATGAAAATTGTCATGTCTTAGTAATACTGCTTTATATGTGTTCGGAAATATTCTAGCTTTAGTAGTTATTCTGACATAATCAGAGGGTAGAAATATATCTTTGTTCTGAAGTTGTGTAGAGCATGTAAGTTAGAAATCATTGTACCTATATGATATGATAATATATATATAATATATGATAAATAATATCTTTGTATACGAAAAACGATTGTGAGTGGGGACGTTTTGTCAGCCAGGGTATTTTAGTTTATATGTATATTGTTATTATAAATACGATATATTATAAGTTGAATTAATATTATTTCCTTATTATCATATTATTCCAATATTTTTAAATGAAAACCAGTGTTTGGAAAGAACGTCGTTCATGAACTCACGTTCACGCGTTCACGTTCATATTATATAGTAAACGTGAACGACGTCTATATTTTTAATGAATTTGATCGATTTTTAAGATGTTTAATTTATTTACCATTTAATAAATATTATGTGTGTAAAATATATAAACTAATTATATTATAATAATAATATCTTCATTTTTAACATTATAATTCCTATACCATTTGTTTCATTGCAAAATATATAAATTATATACGGGAAATTCCAGTATCTCCGGCTAGACATAGGTACAATGACAATGATATTATGATTTTCACGAATTTTTATAAACTTAATCAGTTTCTCATACTAAGTAATCTAGTTTCGATTTATCTTATCACAAAGAAATCCTTATCAAAATGTAACTCAAATAATGTGTCAGATATTAAAAATTAATTCAGATACTTTATAAATTGTATGTGAAGTATGTGATACTGTATTTGAAAA